TCTCTCTCTGCCTACGGTTTACCGGGCAGTTCTGTTTGTGACGATATATATATATATATATATATATATATATATATATGTGTGTGTGTGTATGTGTACATAAATGGATGCAGAAGGGTATAAGTGAGCAATGTGTGTGGGTATATACGCTCATGTATGTATATATGCATATATAACGTCAAATAGAAGTGCCCGGTAAACCGTAGGCAGAGAGGGAGAAGAGGACAACAAACGAGGGGTTGTGACAAACTGTTTCGTCGGAGTATATATATATGACATATATATATATATATGTGTGTGTGTATATGTGCGTGTATGTGAGTACCCGATAAAGGAGGACATTGTCAATTTGTGTTTAACAAGGAATGTTGCCTTGATGATGATATGACCCTCGTAGTTGTCATTGGCTCCTTCTCTATGTGGAGGCGTGAACCTTGAAAAAGAAGAGGCAATGGCACAGAGAGGAGCAGTGGCAGGGCCCTCTGGACCTACCTTGAGAAAGGGCGAGCAGAGGGGGGAACGGAGAATCTCAAGGAACCTGGAGGAATTGCCCATTTACAGGGCTGGAGACAGTCTGCGAGTTTTCCTGCGAGACCTTGAAGAGTACGCTTTCAGAAGAGAATGGGGTGACAGGGAAAAGATTGCGAATGTGAAAGGAGCATGAATGTACAAGAGGGGGATTGAAGGAGTGGTGGCAGGTTGCACAAGATGGAGGGTATGCAAGGTGAGACTATGGAGAGACATGGGGGAATTCCCAAGGGATGATGTGGAGGATGACTTGAGGTTCGATGAGACCAATCTGGAGGACTTTGTTGAGAGTTTGCAGTTGGCCGCTGAGAGGGGCAAATGGAGCGAGGAGGAAAGGCGAAAGCAGTTGATCACAAGATCAGACAAAGACGAAAAGGAACAAGTAAGAGGAATTGTGGAAGGAAGTCGGACCTGGAAAAGGATAACGGCAGAATTGTGGATGACGTACACCCAATCCAGGCAAGATCAGATAAAGAAGGAAAGACTGCAAAAGAAGGGGCTATGGATTGGAAGAGAAGCGACTGAGCCGCAGGAGAAGAAGGAAGAGAATGAAGAAAAGGATAATGTACCTCTGAAAAAGTTGAAGAACAAGGCGAGGGTCTCCCCCAAAAGCAGCAGCAAGGAATCTGAGCAGCCTGAAGGAGATGAACAAGAAGAGGAGGAGACATCAGAGGAGAGGAAAAGAAGCATGGGGGCCAGTATGATACCAAGGAAGAAGAAACTTGGAAAGAAAATGGCAATTGAGAGTGGGAGAAGAGAGGTACAAGAAAGGGTGAGTGAAGAAGGGGAAGGAGTAGAAGAAGTTGAAAAGGGAAGGAAGGTCCAGGGAGGAGTCAAGGCTCCCAAGGTCAAGAGAACTGAGGGAAAGAGGCTGATTGGGGATAAGGAAGAGACAAGTGGGATAGAAAAGAAGGAAGATGGGAAGGATGACCAAGTGGAGAAGTTGATGAGAGATATGGAAGAAATGAGGAAGGAAGTGAGGGAATTGAAGAAAGAGAAGGAGGAATTGCAAAAAGAAATGAACCAATTGAGGGTCACCCTGAATGTGCGGAGCAGAGAACTGGAAGAGGAAGTGGCCACAAGAAGTAAGATGGAAATAAGGGTGGATGGTCTGGTTTCTGAGGTCAGTGTGTTAGGGCAGGACTTTGACAGTGAAATTTCAGAAAGAAAGAAGTTGGGACAAGAGTGGGAGAAAAGATGGGAAGAGATATTGAGAAGAATGGAGGAATCCAGATTGAGCCAACAAGGGAAAGAGAAGAAAGCCACAGAGATGGTGGGAAGAAAAGAGGGTGAAGAGAAGGGAGCACAAACTTAGGAGAAGAAAGAGGAGCCTCTTGCACCCGAAAAGAAAGTAAGTGAGAGTGTGGCTATGCTTATGTCAGGACAAGGTAAAAGGCAAAGGGAATCCCAGTTAGACTCACCAAAGGTGGCTGAAGATCAGGCTGAGATTTCAATCCAGCCAGACATAAAGAGAATCAAGCATGGCATGATTGGACAGAGATGTTTCTTCTGTGCTCAGGAAGGGCACCTCAGGGATGAGTGTTTCATTCTAGCAATTTATATCAAGGAGCGAAAAGCCAAATATGACAGTCACAAGAGATTGGTGGCCGGCACAGGACAGACCATTCCCAGGATACCTGAGGGAGGCAGGGTAGCACTTCACATGATACTGAGACTGCAAATTGATTTCTAGATAGGAATAGGTAGATGTTTTAAGTAAACTATGACTTGAATTGACTTAAAAGGTAGTTATGAGAGGGAGAAAGGTATAAATTAGAGCAAGGGGATATGTGTTTTTCTTCTTCAGTTGGACATGAGAAACAGGAGTGAGACAAGTTGTGTACTTTCTTCATTCAGATGAGGAAACTTAGCATAGGAAGTAGTATGGGGAATGACATGAGAGGTATTTGAGGGATAATAGAGGGGAATGGTGATCTGACTCTGTAACGTACTTGTATTTATATATATTATTCAGGGGAATGAGTTGGTGAGCATGACACACTTGTCACATTGTGTGTGGGCCTTTGTCTTTGGTTGAGTCTCTGATGACATAAGATTTCCCTTCATCTATCACTACTAAGACTCTGTTGAGACCTAAAGAGGTGATAGAGGAATGGGCAGATATGTATCTCATGTGAAAGTTTGATGAGTTTGTGAAGCTTCAAAAGCTGGATTGATTGTACATTTCTTGTTTGAAACCATGCTACGACATGGGTAGACTCCTTTGAGTCTTATCATTTCTGTTGCAGAAATTCCTTTCGAAAATCTCTATGAAAGTGATGTTTTATTTTTGTGGATTCTGACAAGCAAAGAGTCAATAAAAGTCTATTTTAAAAATAATGGTTATATATATATATATAAATAATAATTATATATATACAAAATGACCCCGAGGTGCGTGCCTCACTGAGCTATGATCAAAGACTTGGAGGGCACAACCCTGAGTGGCAGCCTGACGAATGCTAAATTATTGGAAATCTCATTTATTTGGTTTATTTAAGAAGCATCGTTCATCCACCTCAGAAGTTAACCTGAGAACATAAATTACCAAGCCTATGGTGGAAAATTGACATCGTTGGGACGTAACTCCCAGCGTGGGCTGTTGACCTAGCATAACCAGGCAGCGGACCCTTCGACTACGGTCTAGAAGAGAAACTAGAGGGGTGGCCACCCCAATGAAAGGATTTATTCAGGTGGATGTCGAAGGGGTCGAGATTAAAAAAAATTTAAAGATAGGATGAATATCCCCTCGTTCCGCAACCAACGGGGGTAACCACCGATAAGCAACAACGCGGTGGGTCGCAGCTCCGGTCTGATCAGCAGGACTGTGGTGGGTCATGATGGAGACCGTTGTCCTCCTGTATTAGGCTTCGGGCAGGACGACAGGCAACTTTGGATTGTGATATCAAGAGTTGAACACCCAAGGTCTCGGTTAGGATCCGCGTTCGACGGGTTGAGTTCGTACGCAAACACCAGCCTTGAAAAACAACCAACGAATACCTGGACCAAAGACTAAGGGTGTGGGGGAAGGAAAGGTGCGTTGTCATACTTAACTATTTCATGTACTGTAGTACAGATCAAGTATCCCCACTTTCAGTTATTATATTTTATGTGGGAAACCCGGGTTAAAATCCCGGCAGTAATAATGAAAAGTAAGGTGACGGCGTCAATCCTGAAACCACATTCCATTCCAGGATTCGGATTTGACAAATTGCTTGTCAGAAAACACCTTTATTTGCATATAGTCTCCAAGCGACGGGGACGTCGCTTAATGAGGTCTGGGATACTGTCGGACAAAATACCCTTACAAGGGTATTTTGCCATGTCCTTGCATTCGGCACGATGACGACATCAGCTACCATGACGTAGCCTGTCTGGAAACAAGAGGGGTGTGCACGCTTGGCGTGACACTGGGAGCAAAAATTCCTCGGCCACTGAGGCCGGGGCAAAAATCGGTGAGAAAATTTCGTTAAGTGTGTGCGCGCGTTACTATAACGCGCGCCATGGTGATTAGGATCGATAGTAATGCCCCTCGACGGAAGTGGTCGAAAGGTCAGTTGGACTGATGATTGTGTCAGGTAGGACTATGACACGCACTGAGACTTGGTCCGATCCCTATCTTCCTTCCAGTACTGGGGGTTCTAAAAATTTCGGTCTTTGTCTTTCCCTACTCGGCCTCCGAGTAAAGTACCCGTTGCATCTACCTCTACTTAGTGAGGTACCAACCTACCTGCTACTCGAGTGTTTTCCGCTATTCTAAAGTGTCGAGGGTTTTCTTTTCCCCGCCACTTGAGTGTTTTCCCAACCACGACCCTCAAGTCACGATTACAAGTAAGTACCAGTCTGCGGGGCCTCCCAAGCAGCCAAGTACCATTGCAGGCCACACACACACATATTCAAACCGACAGGCGTGCAGACCGGCGCGCATGCACACGCACAAACTTCGAAATAAGCTCATGCCGCTGGATTGGGCTGAGCCGGAGCTCTATAGATACTAGAGTTGCTCCCTTACTTTCCGAAGTGGGAGCTAGCTCAGTAGGTATTGGTGCAAAGCTATCATGCGACACACTCGGGGATCGAACCTGCCCAACCATCAAAGCTAGCTCTTTTTTTACAAGGAGCTTTATTTTAGTTTTCGATCGGTTGAGTTAGCCGGGGCAGGTTCAAAACAGAGCTTTATTTTAGTTTTCGATCGGTTGAGTTAGTCGGAGCTCGAACCTGCGACCTATAGATCCGAGTCAGGTAGATTCAGTAGATTACAGTTAGCCCCGTTTGAAAAAAAAAAAAAAAAAAAAAAAAAAAACGGGGCATGCCACTTGGCAAGGCAAAGGTGGTTAGTGGTTAGATTCTTTGTTTTCTTTTATTTCTTTTCTTTTATGTTTATTGATTAGATTTCGTTTTCCGTTTATTAATTTTCTTTCTTTAGAATTTTGTCCCGTGATCTTCTTGGTGGATTAGTTTTTACGAATCTACCGCGGAAAACAGGGCGGATGCAGTTTTGTAACACAGCCAACGAACTTGCCGAGATCGTGAGTGACAGGCGGCCTGGACATCGACGCCAGATGATCACGGAGCTCGAAAACCGGGGGAGCATCCTGGACACTTCGGGAGAGTAGGAGAAGAGCGAGAATCACGCGGAGAGGTAGCGCGAGGAAGAAGCGCGTGCAGTCAGACAAGCGTGGCGACAAGTAGAAGAAGGGGAAGGTGGAGGAGGAGAGAGTAGGAGAAGAAAGAGAAAGGAAGGGGATTCAACGCGACGGGAGAGATTGTTGTAATTATCGATCTTGAACGAGGAATGCCTAGTAAGCGCGAGTCCTCAGCTCACGTTGATTACGTCCCTGCGCTTTGTATACACCGCCGTCGCTCCTACGATTGAATGGTCCGGTGAGGTGTCTGGACTCCGGTGATCTCGGCGGTTTGTTCGCCAAGGGTGCTTTGAAAAGTTCATCAAAACCTTATCACGAAGAGGGGAGAGGGGAAGAAGAAGAGGAAGGGGAGAGAGAAGAAGAAGAAGTGGAGAAGGAATACTTACCTGACCAAGCGACGACGACGAACGACAAAGGACAGACACGATTGTGTGGCCAGCTACAACGAGGAGCGAAAGCAGAGAATAGCGGGTAAGTCCTTCCATCGCGACCGGGTCCCCGATGATAAGCAAAAGATAAAATAGATATCTAAATAACTAAATAACTACATAAATAAATAAAATAAATAAATAAAATAAATAAATAAATACAAATTAACCTCCTGCTACAACACAGGAGTATACATCGTTGTTGTACTCGTCCAATGGCGAACCTTCACCCTGGCTCGACCGCTTGACCACTGTGTATATGTTATGTGTGTGAAAGAGAGGAAAGGAGAGTGGGAGAGTGCTTCTTCTTCCTCTTCTCAGTCTGCCTTCTCCCTCTTCCCCTCTCGCTACCTACTTCTCAGTATCGATGGATTACGAAAGAGAGAGATGTCATGAGACTTGACGACATTAGCTTCAGACTTGACTTCGGGATTCACACATTCGATAAGAATTGTCTACGACTTGTGCCGCAGATTTTAAGTCGATAACATCTCCCGCCTTCTCCTCCCCTTTGTCTCTTCCTTGTTCTCTCCGACTATATATGGGAAAGGGGGAGCAATGACGTTTCTTCCTGTGTGAACGCCAGACTTCATGCCATGGAGCAATGAAAGTTTATATTGGGACTGCATTGCAACATCGATTGTTCAGATCATTGGTACCTAAGTTTTCCGCTACACTATCATGTATTGTGTAGGTGAGGCCGGTTCTTGCTCTGGTCTGCACCTTGTACTATATACAACGCATGTACACATAGTGAAAGGAGAGAGATCAAGGAGGGGAGGAGAAGGTGAAAGGAGAGAGAGAGCGATCGAAAAGAGAGAGAGAGAGTGCTTCTTCCTCTTCCCAGTCCATCATCTCCCTCTCGCCCTCTCGCATCCGGCTTCTCAGTATCTGCTAACTACGAGTGAGAGAGAGAGAGAGAAAGGGAGAGTTCGTTTTCCTTCCTCCTCTAAGTCCACCACCCCTCACCCTCACACTACACGGTCTATCATCATCTGTAGGCCACTACTAGAGAGAGTTTTTTCTTCTCCCTCATCTAAATCCGCCGTGTCTCTCGCCCTCTCGCATCCGGCTTCTCAGTATCTGCGAACTACGAGCGAGAGAGAGAGAGAGAGAGGGAGAAAAGAGAGATTGGAGGGGACATGCACAACCAACTCAGAATCACGCTACTCACACCAGTCGCGTTAGAACAGATTGAGTGAATCTTGCGACGGGACACGGGAATATGCATAATACATGCATGGGTGTATGTGCGTGTGTGTAGGCGTGTGTGTGTAAGAGAGAGGGAGAGACGATTAGTCTCCAACCTTGGCCTACAACTAAGTCCCTTACCCACGGTTCGACGCACGCTACTTGGATCGATAGAAACGAGCAAATCAAAGAGTGACAGGGTAAATTTCCCCGTTTCAGCAGAAGTTT